ACAAAGTGTGCTCTCATTTGCTCTTTCCCTAGTGCCTGCTCATGCCACCTCTTCCCATGTTGCTGTGGGGAGAGAGCTCCCTTCTTTCTATCCCCAGCTTCTCCCTGATGATGTCCACCTCTGGCTTTAAGAAAACTGGGAACCCTTACCTCAAGTCCTTCGGTGCAGTTGCTCCTTCTCCCCACCTATGCCTTGGGAGACATGGTTAGGGATCGTCTGCTTCTGTCTGTGCACCTCTCTGGATATGTATCCCTAAGGACGAGGCTTTGAGAGCTCTGGTCCTGAATCTGCTCCTTCAGTGGCCAGGTCCTCCTCTAGCGTTCTTCCTGTCCCTAACCCATTCCTGACTTCTGCTAGCCTGAGTCCTCCACACCCCCCGCCTTTATCCTGGAGGAAGCTATCTGTAACCACGCCCTGTCTTCCAGCTCACAGCTGGGCAGATGCACAAACGCCCACAAGACCACCTCTGCCAGGGCACCCCGGAATCATGGCTGGACCTCGATGCCATGCAGCACTCCCGTCCTTTATCTCATCCAGTGGCACTGCTCCACCCCCCTCAGAAGATTCTACGTTTATCCTTAACTCCGATTCTATATATGAATGGACCCTGTACCTTTTAAAGTAAAACCTGGCCTTTGATTCACAGAGAAAATCAGGTGTCATATTCATAAAATCTTTGAGTTCCTACCATGGCTTTGGACGTACTTATCTTCAAATGCAGCCACCGGAGGTGGGGGTGCTGGCTTGCGCCTGCCTTCCCAAATCCCTTCTCTGTGGCAGCTCTGTGCCTGATGACTGCCTCCCCACAGGGACCCTTCACCAGCCACCCTGCACTTCTGGCTTCCCAGGAGACCCGAGCGAGGCAAAGGCAGAGGCGGCCTATTTCTCCCTGTTCCCTGCTCTCTGTCAGCAACTGTAGTCCTCTAAAACTCCAGCATCGTGTCCCCAAAGTTCCAGTGGAACTCCACTGGCTCCAGTGTGACTCCATCTCCTTCCCGTTGTAAAGGTGGAAATGGCTCTGGTTCCCAGGAATCCCTGGTGTATCACCATCCTTGGGGCTGACTTCACACCAGCTCTCTGGGTGCCCTTTTCCTGAAACGCTCTCTTGGAACCATCTGGGAGGGGGACACTCTTTTCTTACCTGGACCCTGAAAGATCTGCTCATCAATTTTCCCCTCCCTTTCAAGGAGGAGGTGTTCCGCCTTCTGCAAGAGGGCCGTAGCTCTCTGTCCCCCGGGTTCTTCATGCTCTGTCTTTCCCGTATCTTAATTTTCCTCTTCGTGTTCTAGTCTCTTTCTCTAAATACTTTCTAAACCTCCCATCGCTGGCTCTGCTCTCTGCTGGGCTTCTCTCTGTCGCAGGCTACCTTCCCTTTTGTTCACCCCATCTTCTGGAAAGTGAGATCTTTTCATTGAGTTGGCAATCATTCTCCTTGCAAAGATGTCCCATCGTCACCAAACCCAGGTCCGGAAGTTCAATCCCTGGAGAGACCAACGTCTAAGAGATGAGTGTTGGGGACAAAGAAAGGTTTTATTCAGTGGCCAAAGAATAGAGAAGGGAGAGTTTTGCTCTCAAATCAGCTTCTCCACTCTAGGGGTTTGAGAGGTTATTACGGATAAGAGATGGGAATAACAAGGGAGAGGGAGAGGCTAATAAAGGGGAGGGGTATTGGTGTCTTTTCTGGGAACAAGTGGAGATCTGCCAGGAACTTGGGCATCACCTCTCACTCCTTTCATGATTGGGTGTTTCTGGTCTTGGCAGCAGGTAGAAAGTCCTTAGCTTTGAAGTGAGTGTGTGTGTGGGGGGGGCGGGGGGGGGCAGGGAGAGACTAGCCACATCTAGGTCAAGTTAACCCTGTGTTATAGTTTGGGATAAAATATTTCTCAAGGGATCAACATTTCTATGTGCAATGCTGAGTAGACTCTGACCCAAAGTTTAAGGCCACAAAGGAGACAGACACAATATGAGGACAGAGATGTTAAGATTTTCATCTCATTCCAGTCACCAGACATCTGCCAGCCCAAGGGAAGAGTCAGTGTTTTCAGTAAAAGCAGCCTTTACATCCCTGAAAAGTAACCTAGGCAGATGTTAGCATCCTAACCCCACGTGTGAGAGCTTTTACCTACAGCAGAGCTAGTGGGAGGTGAATAACGTTTTGCCAGCTGTGTGACTTCCAAAATTAATGATTTTAAGTTAATTAAGAGCCAGCGAAGCTAGAGGGTTTATTTAGGTTTTTCCTTGGTGACACTAGAATGGACAGTCACCACCTGCAAAGGAGAGCGCTCAGCAGGTATTTTATACAGCCTCTCTAAATCAGGAAAATACAAGGTCATGAACATGGCTTTGGAGTCAGACCACCCTACCAGTTTCTAACCTGGCATATTTTGTAACCTCTCTGACCATTGGCTTCTTTCTGTACACAATAAGATCCGAATTCTCTAATAAAGTGTGCATTGCTGGTGTGTGAGGACACTCCATCAAGGTAGCCACGGTGGTCAGCATTGCCTTTCTCTTGAAACTCATTTTTCCGTGGTACCCGTTGAACTTGGGTTCCATATTTATCCTCCGATTTCTGACCATTTTTTTCTTAGCTCCTATCTGGAAAGCCTGGCAATTTCAAGTTTTAGCCTTTAGCCCTGACTGTCCAGCTCTGGACATCTCTATGTGGGAGGCCCCATCATTTGTATGCATGCAGCATCTCACCTTTCCCTGCCCTCTTCATCCTAATGCAGGAGACTGAACTCAGCCTCGAATCCAGGTCAGAAATGTGGGCCTCACTTTCTCCTCTCAGGAGAAGAAGGTGGCCTGCGGGGTACCAGGGGCTAGCCAAATCCACTGTGGGCTCCTTCAGGGGGCCTCAGCAGTGAAGCCAGATTTAAAGATAGGTAGTTTGCGTAGTTAGGTAAATCGGGTCTAATACTGAGTAAAATAAAAAATGAAGGCCATGTTGAGAATGGAGCCCGGGAAAGCAGAGCAGCACTTGGGAAATTGAAATGTTAATGTTCCCAAGGCCCAGAGCCCATTCTAAAGAAATGTTAATGAAACAGCTCCCAGCAAACAGGGAGGTGCTAATCAGAAGCGGCCCTAGGCCCTTCCTGCCCAGATTACTCCTACAGCCCAACTGCCCCTCACCTTTTGGGTCTCCCCACCTACATTCTATCACTGCAAGGTAACAGAACAAAGGACAGGAACCTGACAGAAATGTGGGAAAGCTGAAAGAAGGCCTTAGCTATAGAAGACGGAAGACCTCCCCCTTCCACAGATTCCACCTCTTGGGTCCCCTTCTTCCGGGGGGCGGGGGGAGGGAGTCTTTTCTGCTGTCTTTTAATAAAGTTTCTACTTTCCACTCTAAACTTGCCTCCTCGGTGTGCTTATACTTCAGCATTGGGGAGGCACAACGGTAACAGCAGCAGGGTGCTTCTTCTGCATTGTCAGACTGTCTTGGTCTGTTTTTGTTTCTAGTAACACAGACCCACAGACTGGGCAAGTTATTCAAAAAGAAAGATTTATTTTGGCTCAGAGTTTGGGTCCAAGGTCAAGGGCCTGCAAGTGGTGAGCTTTCTTACTGGCAGAGTCGGGACGTGGCTTAGGACATAACGTGGCAAGAGACAGGAAGTGTGTGCGTGTGTGTGTGTGTGTGTGTGTGTGTGTGTGTGTGTGTGAGAGAGAGAGAGAGAGAGAGAGAGAGAGATCCTCTAGTCTCTCCCTCTCTTCTTATAAATTCAAGTGAATTCAATCATGGAGGCTCTCCCCTGCTGATTTTATTTAACCCAAATCACCTCCCAAAGGGCCCACCGCTAAGCACCATGGTTGGATTAATTTCAACATCATTTTTAGAAAGGACGAATCATATGTAAGCCATAGCACAGACTATGAAAATTTCATCCAGATTTATCATCACCTAACCTAGTAGTCTCCTTCTCATCCATCTCTAGGTTGTTAGATAGACCAGATCCTAGGGCTTTGGGGAACAGGGCCTAAAATAAGAATGCATAGCTCCCCAGTGAGGCAAGGGCTCCCCGTGGGTGTGGTACCTAAGCTGTCTGCATGGCTGCACAGCTCTGATCTGATGTTGAGACACCTTTGGCTTCTCCTTTCTTTCTCTGTGGTAGTGGGGATTGAATCCAAAAGCAATTGGCTGCTGAGATAAAACCCCAGCTCCTTAAAAATTTTAATTTTGATTCAGGTTTTCACTAAGTTGTCCAGATTGGCCTTGAACTTACAATCCTTCTGCCTCAGCCTCCCGAGTAGCTGGGATTACAGATCTATATCTGCCCAGAACGTTGATACCATCTTGCCTAAGTGTGGCTTTACTGCACAATTATGATCTTGGAACATTAACCATCCTCTTTGAGTATATATCTTTTAATATGTAGCAACTACTGCTATTTATGTTTTAAAATATCCCATTTCTCCCTATTGGCCTCCTCATAATAAAAGAACTCAAAGTCTCCTGTAGGCTAAAGGGTTAATTCCATACCAATGTTTTTTTCTTCCCTTGGAGACCCTTAGCTCGCACAGGTGTTCTCTATTCCTTTATCAAAAAAATAAAAAATAACAAGAATGGAGGGAAGGTAACCTCGGTTTTGAATGTGCATTCAATGTACATTCATAATAAAAGCGGAACCGAACGGCACATTCATGGCTGCTCCTTGATGTAACTGAACTGGTGAATGAAAGTTTGGGGCACAGCTCACCTCCAAGAGAGTGGTCCTGTTCACACTGAGACCTGACCCGTGGATCTTGAATTTCCTTGAAAAACTCCTTTTTCCTTTCTCCACTAACAGCCGTCGTCCTTCTCCCAGAATCTTTGTGATCGAGCTGGGTGGTATTTCTTTTTTTCCCACACTGCCGTTGGATAAAAGATCCCGCCCTTGATTGAAATGGAATCTTCCACTATTGAGCGAGCCTTTGTTGAATGAGTCATCCGCGCGGCCGCTCATTGGCTGAGGCCTCGGGAGCCCAGGGGATTGCCTGGCACCGGCTGCCGGGCCCGACTTCATTCACAGAAAGGCTGGCTCGCTCGCTCGCCCTTTCATTCACACAAACAGCGTCTCATTCACATTTTGCTGTTTTTGTCTGCTTCTAATGAAGATCACGGTTTGGGGATGATAGGGCTGTTTGGCTTCAGGTTTGGGGGAGACTCTGATAACCATCAAAATCACCTCCGGGGGTGTGCATCTGCTGTTGCTAGGCGAGCCAGGGGAAGAGGAAAAAGGAGTGCCGAGTGGCTGTTCTGCTAGGGCTGCGGCGCAGGAGGGGAGCTGTGGGGACACGTTTCCTGCGCCGGGACCGCGCGGCTTCTCCGCGCTCCTGCGTCCTAGGAGCCGGCCTCACCCGCGCGCCCGCCATGAGCGGCGCTCGTTAAACCCTGCTCGGCCGAGCCCTGTGCCGAACGCGGGACCTCGTATGCCACACCTGACAGGGCTAGGCCTGGGAAGACTCGGGTGACCTGAGAGTGAGCTAGAGGTGAATAAATTTTCGTGCACAGAAGTTGCCGGGAACTTTCAGCGTTTCACTGTGGGCCAGGTTATCTTAAGGCATGAGGCCGACGGGCAGAGGCTCCTGAGGAAGGGGTCAGTGGGTCTCCGAGTGGAGGACAGACCTAGAGGCTGCCAACGTCCTGTTCTCCTAACTGGGAGGAAGGAGGCCTGCACATTTCTTTGCAAGCCTGAGCCCGATTCCTGAAAACAAGGCTTTTTTTTTTTTTTTTCCCCTCCCCCTGTGGATTTGATGTGCAGCTGCATTTTTTTTTTTCCCTCCTGACTGCCGGGCTGCAGGCAGCAACTGAAGGGACATTGTAATGCATTGGTAGCATTTCTCAGGCATTTTTCCAGGGCTTAAACACATTCAGTTGGAATAAAACTTGAAACGCAGCCCCCTGTTTTTTGGAATGGATTTCTGGAGCCTGTTGCCACTCATCGAAGAAGCATTTCTTTTTTGGAAGTAGATTTCCAACTTAACCCTGGCTGAGAAAGACTGCTGTAAATGAGCAGGGAAGACCCCCTTGAGCGCACTGGGCAGAAGTTCATATGCAGATTTTATTGGGGGAGGAACTGCATTGCCACAAAGACGCTCATCATGGCTGCTCTGTTGATTTGAAAAGAAAAAAGGAGAGAGAGAGAGAGAAAAAAAAAAACCCCAGGAAATTGGTATTTTATGTTCACCTGGGGGTGAATATTCCTTTTTGTTTTCTATTTAAAAATTCTTACTGCTTTCCAAGTCAGAATTCACCAGGATTCGCTGAAGACTTATTCTTAAAAAGCCTTCGTCACATTCTAACGCATCGCTGTCATGCACTTTTAGGGCTCACATAGATGAGCTAAGCAGGGAAGAGGAAAACCTAACATGGAATAATGGGTTTCCGAAAGTTCATTTGATCATTTGAAGGAATTGGATTTACCTTTGGTACAATTGCGGAATGGGGGGTTGGGGAAGTGAAAAATCAAAGGTTGGAAGGAAAAATCTGGGAAGGTAGAAAAAGGAAATTTGAGAATTGATTGGCTCCAGTTGCTGTCAGCGGGTGGATGTCGGTTTTTTTTTTTTTTTTCGCTTCTTTTTTTTTTTTCCCTTTTTTTTTCTTCTTCTACAGGAAGTGATTTGCAGTGCTCACCGAGCCTTTGTTGAGAAGGGTCTCCTCTCAGAGTGAGTCATGCTTTTGCTGTGAGCAGCCCCAAGCAGCTGGGCTCTCCATCACAGGCAACTATGACTTTTGCAAAGCAAACGTTCAACCCCAAGCAGCGGTCTCCCGGGCCGGGGCTGCGCGGCCGCTGCTGTGTTGGCTTTTAATGGTGGGAGTGCATCGTCCTCGGACTCCGCTCTTCCTCTCCAGAAGGCTGTCCTGGGACCCCAGCTCTTCGTCCCGCTCCGGGGCCAGCGGCTCGCCTGCTATGCGCGGCAGCCCGCGCGGGGGCCGGCACCAGCAGCGCCCGGGCGGATGCGGCGAGCCCACGGAGGGGCATGCTTCCACGCACCAAGTACAACCGCTTCAGGAATGACTCGGTGACATCGGTCGATGACCTTCTGCACAGCCTGTCGGTGAGCGGCAGCGGCGGCGGCGGCAAGGTCTCCGCGGCGCGCGCGACCCCGGAGGCGGCCCCTTATCTGGTGTCCGGCGAAGCCCTGCGCAAAGCGCCCGACGATGGGCCCGGCAGCCTGGGCCACCTGCTTCACAAGGTGTCCCACCTGAAACTCTCCAGCTCCGGCCTCCGCGGCCTGTCGTCTGCCGCCCGGGAGCGGGCGGGCGCGCGGCTCTCGGGCAGCTGCAGCGCGCCCAGCCTGGCCGCCCCGGACGGCAGCGCGCCCCCGGCGCCCCGCGCCCCGGCCGTGAGCATGAGCACCGCCAAGAAGGGCCGGCCAGGCGACGAGCCGCTGCCCAGGCCCCCCCGCGGGGCGCCGCACGCCAACGACCAGGTGTTGGGACCCGGAGTCACCTATGTGGTCAAGGTGGGTACTGGCGCGGGCCGTCCTGGTGGGGGTCCCGGAGGCCGGGCAGGAGAGCCAGCTGCGGTCAGGCCTCTTCCTGAAGCCCTAGGGTGCGGGGGGACACCCGTGGCTGTCACGTTAGAGGCGAGGAGATGCGCACTCCTCAGAAATCAGTTCGGGAGCGAACTAGAAATGCGCCTTTCCCGCATCCAGTGGGAAAAGGTTGAAAAAAACGCGTGACCTCACTCTGTCTTGCTTTCCCCTGGGCTCCACCCGGTTGGCATGCCTTTGCTACCTGGCCTCACCTAATGTCCGGCCAGTGCCCCTTTCACCGTGGGCGCTTATCCGTGGGACCGAGGGAATGGCCTACTTCGCGCTGCTGAAACACACTTGTTAGACCCGGGCAGTCCCCTGCGGGGATGAGAGTTTCACCGAATGTCTCTATTTCCACGGTGTCCTCGCCTGTTGGTGGGGTGGGCAAGAGGTTGCCCACCACAGCAACAATCTCCAGTTCCTGGCAGGGCGGGTCAAACGCTGTCTTGCTTTCTAGAAGACGGCTTCTACTTTTCTTGTGAGCAAGGTTTTCGTGGGTCTTTCATTCCATATCCAGTGGTTTGGTTTACAGCAGAGAAAGGAGAATTTGGGACTATTTTCCCAGTGGCTGTAGCCTTCCATTTAAATGGGCTCAGAGGGGCTGAAGCCACAGGCTGGAAAGGAGTTTTTCTTCCAACACAGAGAATTATAAAAACACGATGTAGTTAATAGATTTTTTTTCTTTATGCAAACATGTTGTGATGTTTAAGGAGCAAATACTCAGCTCAGTTCAATTAATCTGTCAAATGCTTATTTCCTCCTGCCTGCCAGGCAGCGGATCAGCAGCCTCCACACCTGGACAGACTTCCCCTGGCCAAGAGGGGAAGATCCAACTTACATTGGATCCAAGACATGTTTTTTTTTTTTTTTTTTTTTTAATTGAAAAAGAACTGAGACACAAATTCTATCCCCACCTGTGTTAATAACATTGCAAAACCAGTGGGGATATCTGGTATGTAAATACTGGCTGCAGATCCAATCGAACAATCAGCAGAACGCATCTTCAGGTAACATGGAGTATCTTGGCAATTCTGGAACCACAATTTCCAAAGAAACAGATTATTGTAAGGGTTATCTTTACCTATATGAAAAGCACTGATAAATAATATGACTATTGGTGTTTAAGAAAGGGTCCCTTCTTGTTTGAGTCTGCATTTTAATTTGACCTGCTTCTTAGCTTCTGAATATGGATTATTATATTTTACCAAAAGGGATATAGATCAGCATAAAGTATGCACACTTGGTTGAGTTTATCTTAAAAGAAATGAATATTCTTCTTGTATTGCTTGTTTAAAGTACATAACCAGGAGCCAACCTCACCCCCCCCCCCAAAAAAAAAAAAACCCTCCACAAAAACCCAAAACCAAACCAAAAAACCTTGACAACTCTGAGGTTAAACTGTAACACTAGAGTGTATTAACCATCTCTAGAACGTTAGTATAATTGCTATTTTTCAAAAAGACTTACATTTAAAATACATCAATATATCTTGACAAAGCTTATATGTTGTGTCAAACATAGAGGGTAGTCTTCAAACTGAGGATAATGTCAAACTAAGGCTTTTAAAGTTTACCTTGAAAAAAGTATCACTCTGCTTAGGGCTTTGATTCTGTGTTAGAATGAAGGCCACTGTCCAATTCTGAAGGTCAGCTGTGGCAAAATAATGATGATCATTCTAAAATAAATCTGCTCGGCTTGGCCATCTTTTGAGTGACCCTCAGTAATGGTATTCCGAGAGTCAGAGGGCTGGCTGGATCTGTTCAGAGCCTATCTATGTCCTGTGGGTTACAGTGACCCAGTGGGTACATAGCATGACTAATGAGTGCTGGGTACTGTCCTTGGTTTGCCCCCTTGCTCATCAGCAGCTGTGAACCACAGGGTCATGTGAACATAAATGCTGGCGTTGTCCCTGCTTTCTTGGAGAAGTTCGAAATCACGCAGAAAGGAAATCAGATACTAAAGGACAATTTCATTCCTTGTGCGCATGTTGATTCAAATTATCACATGGCCCTCTGTTGGTGCACATGTGCAAATTCCCACATTGCCCATGTACAGTTAAACCACCAATGTATTTTATTAAAAAATCGTGAAACTGGGGAAAAAAACCCTTTATTTGTGTGTTCTTTACTGATTTGTAAATAGTTCTATTGATATCCTTCCTTTAAATAATTTCTGGTAGATAGAAATGGGCAATCTTTATCATGTGACTGGATATCAATTATAAAGTCTAAAGGTCTAGAGTTGGAGAAAGGACTTGTTATTCTCTTTGATATATATATATTTTTTCCTAAATTAAGGAAAGCCCTGGATGGTTTCCAGTTTTCTGGAAAATTCATATATTGGATCATTAGAGACTTTGGCTTCTCAGAAATACCTGATGACAGGTGCTATCAGGATGTTGCACACAGCATGATAATTAGCAAATATTTAAACTTGATTTTCTTACATAAGAGGAGGACTGAGAAATACAGAAGTCTGGTGGCTTTTGATCATCTAGGAAGCCTCAAAGCATTATATCAGTAATATTAATTAATGAAGAATCAAAATTTAACACTGTAAAAAAGTTCCTGAGCAACACTAGAATCCAGAGCTTGTGGTATGTTTAATCTGTCCTTTCTGCTACCACTGAGTTTGCCATTTATTAACAGCAAGAGGTTATGTACCTGAGGAAGTCTCCAGGTCTGTATTCATGTCAGGGAGTCCCTACCAGCAACACCTTTTTACACATCTGAGTCTAGCTACAACTTGTTGTTGTTTTTTTTTTTTCCTTTTCATTTTGGTGACAGAGAAAGAACAAGAAAATATGCTTTGGATAGACAGAAAAGAAAAACCCAACAGCAAAGATGAATGAATATTTTCATTAAATTTCTATTTAAAACCTATTTTATATTTGGACCTAATAGATGGATAGAAATACAAAAGAATATTGATGATGGTGCTGGGCACCTTAAAAATCTATTGCCCTAAAGTCCAAGGTGGCTAGCATCCCAGTGACCTGCAGCTGCTGTAGGTTTTTGGTAGGTTTGAAGGCAATATGTTGCTTCTCAGGTCTGTGCTGGGAAAACTGAGGAAGGTAAGGTAGATGTGCTTAGTTCAGGGGGGTGGAGAGGAGCTCAGTTCTTAAAGAGCCACTAAGCTGTTGTAGAAGAACCATTTGAAGACAAGACTGAGGCTCAAGGCTAAAGACGGGAAGGTGATACTGTATGGGCTGCACCGGGTCAGCCTTTGGCCCAGTGGTAGGTCCCACAAGAAATGTGCCTCCACGGGGCACATCACAGACTTGCACAAAGCTCACAGGGGTAGGGATGTGGCTCACTGGTAGAGCATGTGCTTAGCATGTTGAGGCCCTGAGATCAATGACCACCATGTGTGCGTGTACACACAATCAGAAGTGACCACATTTAGAACTGACCCAAGTGCTAATATCAAGAATCAGGAGGCCTAATTTAAGAGCAAGGGTTTAAGGGCACACTGCTCAGAGCTGTAATACTCTTGCCAGCATTTACTGAGCAAGCTGATGATGCCATTCATGAATTTTGGTGACAGCTCTGTCAGACTTCTACAGGGTTTGGTTGGTGGAGTGTCACTCATTACTGAAAATAATCGGCTATCTGTAGGAGATCTTAACAATCAGAAAAGGAGTGAATTACTTCCTGGTATGTGAGACTGTTTCTCATTTTGCATTTTACCATATAATATCTACAGTATGTTCTAGATAAAGAATGTCTACAGTGGGAGGCATTGAACATAGGAATAGCCCACTGAGTGGGTGGATGTTGACCCGTGTGTGTGTGTGTGTGTGTGTGTGTGTGCGCGCGCGTGCGCCATTACACACTAGAATGGATGTTGGCCATTGGGGTATATGTATATGTAACTGCATTCCTGAATGGATGGGGTGTGTGGGTATATAAATTTACACGGTGAAGTGTGGTGCATGTGGATGTGTAATTGCACATGAGGACGGATGGAGTGTGCAGATGTATGAGCAGCTATACCTTGACACTTATAATAAGCTTTTGGACCTATAAATTCATAATGACTAGCTTCTAGTTTGGGTAAAAAACCAAACTGCTTTGTTCCCATTGTGATTTCACTTCTTCCTCCCTTCACTAAAACAATAAGAGTGCGACAATTGTCCCCTGACATGTGCAACAGATGGTGCTTCCCAGTGCTAGGATTGGTGACTTTTCTCAGAATTTCAGAACAGTTACAAATGTCACCGGCTCAGTTGGAGTGGGGGGAACTGGGCATCTCTGTTTAGACCACTGGATCCCCAACAAGATACCAGGAGCCAAGGGCCGTGATTTCATAGTTACCGGCTATATTGTACTGCTCCATCTCCGTGAGTGGGGAGGTGCTGGGTATACTTCAAGCCTCCTGCCCCACCTGACATGCCCAGAAGTTTAAGGGCACATGCACCTACTGCCCTTGGTGAGCTAGCATCTTCTCAGCTCCTGGAACGTGTCTCTGCCTTGGGTCAGCCTTTTGTTTTTGCCAGGGCAGACAATGGTAGCTTAGCTGGATCTGTGGCTTCTTTGATCCATTTTAAAAAATATATAGTAACGGGGATTGAACCCAGGGGCACTTAACCACGGAGCCACATTCCCAGCCCTTTTTATGTTTTATTTTGAGACAGAGACTTGCTAAGTTACTTAGGGCCTCACTAAATTGCTGAGGATGGCTTTAAACTTGTGATCTTCCTGACCCAGCCTCCTGAGTTGCTGGGATTACACATGTGCACCATGCTCGCCCTGCTCCAGAAGTAACCTAGCAAATCCTACTACTGATGGGGAAAATTTGGGTCTTTAGCCATGATTCCAGGCTCCTGGGAGGAACTGTAGTGAAACTTGGAAGCTGCAGAAAAGGAATTTCAATGAGGTTGTTTGAACTGGTGTTTCCCTTGACCATTCGAGTTCCCAGACTCCTGA